TTGGGGGTTAGAAAAAGATGGTTTCCGTTCATAAGTAACAACACACGTGATAGAATAATACTGTTCCAGCGATAAATGGTAGCTCAGCCAGCAGGGAGAGAAGGTTCTGGTCAAAAATGATCATTCAGTTTTGATAGAGAAAGAATGATTTCAGTCATAAATAACTCAGGTGACACAGACAGACGTTCCCAGGGATAAAGCTTCAAGGCTTTCAGCCCCAGATTAGAAGTCAGATAACGGACGGTGAGTGTTTCCAGGGACAAACCACTGGTAAGGGGCAGGTAAGTGATCAGAGGTGATGGAGTCAGAAAGACTTCCTGTCAAACATGAGAGCACAGGCGACAGGTATTGAAATTTTCCTGTCATAAGCCGTGATTCACACAACAGCAAAAGGTTTCAAGTGGTAAGTCCCGTGATGGAGAAAGTTTCTGGTCACAACCGATCATTCAGATGACAGAGGAAGGCTTCTAGTGCAAAGTAATAACTCAGCAGAGGCAAATCCGGCTTCCAGTCATCAAGTATGGCTCAAGGTGGTGACAAGAAAGACCGCCAGTCACAAGCGATAACTCGCATGACAGGGAAGGAAAGGCTTCCAGTTGTAAATGATGCGCGAGGGGTACGGGAAGGAGCCCAGGCGCTAGTCATGGCTCAGGTGGCGGAGAAACACTGACTTCATCGTAAGTGATAACTCACGTAGGGGAGAAGTGCATTGTCAGCCTGAACTGTAAATTCAGCAGATACACAACAGTATTCAGGTGACAGAGAATGAGGATTTCCAGGCATAACTGATAAATCACGGAGGAAAAAAAGGTGTCTGATCGTAAAGGATAAGCCAGGCGGTAAAGACAGATAGCAGCCAGTCATGGATCATAACTCACGTAATACTGGGAGAGGACATTCAGCCAAAAACGCCTCAGGAAAAGAGAAAAAAGTTTCCAGAAAGAAATGTTCAATAAGTTGACAGGGAAGGACATGTTCCATTGTAAATGGTGACTCAAAATGGTAGACTAGGGTGGGTTTCAGTCATAAACTATAACTTAGGGGATACAGAAAGAATCCAATCTTAAATCCAATCCAAGAGCAACGGAGTTTCGCCGTAAAGGATAATTAGGAGACACAGAAGGAAGAATTCCACTCAAAAATGACAACCAGGGTCATGGAAAGTCCTCCAGTCTTAAATGGTAGTTCAGAGGGCAGTGAAGAAGGGAAGGGTTTGCGATGGTAACTGACAGCTCACGCGATCAGCCACGAACGTTTCCCGCCGCAGGTGGTCAGTCCGGGTGCCGAGATGTTTAGGAGACAGGGTGGGAGGTCCGCTGTCACAAATGACGACATACAGACACAATGCGATCCATTACTGACAACTCGTGTGGTAGAAGAGGAAGAATCCCAGTCAAAAAATAACTCACGTGACAGAGGAAACAGGTTTCTGTGAATGGTAACTCATCTAATAGAGAAAGGTTTCCAGTCCTAAGTGAGAACTCACATGATAGAGATTACATTTGTGGTAAGTTGGGTCTGGGTGTCTGTGGGGTGCAGGGACATGAAGCACGAGGGAACGTGGCGCTCACGCCGCTCACTGTGCAGAGATGACCTCTGCCTCTGCTTGAGTTTCCCGCCAGCATCCACGAAACGTGTCTGCTCTTAACTGACCCCTGGAATGCTTCAAGGGACCAGTCCTTTCTCCTGACAGGGGGCTCCACCAATAGGCCGTCTTTGCTCCAGTGGCCTGGTTGGCTGATAGAGTCCAAACTGTTGGGTCTGCTTGGCCATCTGAAGGCTCCCAGGCCCAATCCTGCTTCCTCTCTGGTTGGGGCCCCTCCCGCCTGGCGGGGAAGGTGCTCAGGTGGCAGGGACCGAGGAGGCTGACCGTCACTGCACCCGAGCTGTGGGGGTGGGCCGGCCAGAGAGGTACGTGAAGTGCTCGGGGGAATGACAAATGCAAGGACGGTGGCACTGGGTGGTTGTTACTATGATGTGAGGACGTCCTGCAGAAAAGGAAAAGCCGAGGCCAGCGGACGATGCGTGGAGAGGAGTGTGAGGGCCAGAGAGGCTCCAGACACTCAGAGAAACACAGCTCATGCAGCAGAAAAGCGGAGAGTTCGGTGGTCCAGCACCCGGACACAAGGTGGTCGAGTGCCCCCAGGGGATCCCAGACCACAACCCAGGCATAGGACACCTGTGTGAATGGGTCCCGAATCTAACTCCCCAGACCCGCTGGACCTTCTGAGCCCGCAGAAGTGGCCCCCGAACTAGGGCTAAATAGCACAACCTACCTGGGGACCTGCCGGGTCCCCAGGACTGAGCTGTAGAGGGAGCACCAGGGCCACACCCCAGGGTGTCACCGAGGGAGCTTGAGGGGAAGATCTGTGAGCGTTCAGGACTTCAGGCGCTTTCTTGGGACACGGGGTCAGATTTCCTGGCCAAGACCCAAGGGATGAGTAAACCGGCCACTCAGGGGCCCTTGGAGGCTTAAAGACAGATGTGGCCACGTGGGGCCATGGCAGCCAAGGAAGGGGTGGCTGGGTCGGCAGGCCTGTGACGGCAGGGGCCAGGCAGCCGTGGGGGAGAGCTCACCAGAGCCACCTGCTTTTCCCTGCTGTGTGCGTTGGGAATGAAGCAACACGCTTGACATCGGGTCCCTGCCCAGTGGTGAGAGCCATGCCAGTGGGGAGAGCAGGGGGCAATCTTGGAACTGACCCCCCACGACGGTTTCCCAAAACCAACACCAGGTGGGAAAGGGTTCAGGGGTGTGCCCTTCCCACCTCTGCTCACTCTCCGCCTGGTCCCGTGGAAACCGGGACGCAGTGATGACCGTGGGCTCCCTCAGACATGGCTCAGAGGTGGCCCTCCTGGCCCCGGTCCCCACACCTCTGCTGCTGAGGCACGGTCTCGTGGCTACAGCGGTCCGTGGCTCATGCCCGCTATTTGGAGGACTCAGAAAAGGGGCCCAGGAGGCGTTCACACACACACACTGTCCTGCCTACAGGTGACCTCTCTCTCAGTTTAATCTCACGGCCCCTCCGGGCTTCCGGGGACAGCGCTCGGCGTTTCGCCCGTGAGGAGTGGGCTGCCCACCCCAGGAACGCAGCTCTGCTTGCCCCTCGGACCCGCCCCTTGCGGGCAGGACGGCCCTGAGCCAGCGGGGTGTCTAGCGATGCCCGGCGACGTGCACCTGGGAGGTTTTGGCTGCTACCCACACAGTGCCCCTGACACAGCCCGTACCGGGGGGACGAGCCCAGGACCCGTGTCCTCAGTCTCGGGGCCCGTGTATGACCCCCTCCTCACACTTTGGCCCACCCATCTCCAGCAGGCCCCTCCGGATGGCCAAGTGGGTGCGACGGCCCACGGCCTTTCTCCTACACACGCCTAGCGAACTAGGTTCCGAGGAGGAACGACAAGCTGGGAACACTCATGCCCCACCGCCCCCTCCCCTGCATGGAAGTTCATACTCATGCACAGCCCCAGGCTCAGACATGCACATGGACACACGCGGCACGTGGGGAAGACAGAAGGGACCGCAGAGCCTAAGAGGGACACGTGGCAGGGTTGGTGGCCTTCGCTGACCACGCTGTCCACCCCGGGGCACCGGCTGAGCCCCGGCACCCCCTCCTGTGCCACCACCCGGGGCAGCGCCACCCTCTAGGGGCCCTTGGGCGGATGCATCAGATGCACCCACAGAACCTCTGGAACCCACCTTCTGGGAAACGGGTCCTGGTCTGGTGGCCTCCCGCGCTTAGATCTCGTTTTCTGCCCGCAGGGTCTGGCTCTGGAGCCCCCGCCCCCGCCGTCCCCAGTCCCTCGGGCTTCCCTTCCCGCTGCCTGTCTCCCTTACCCTGTCTTTCCCCCCATCTGCCCCAGCCCAGCCCCTGTCTCCTTCCTTCCATCCAGGCACCTGGACACCAGGCATTTCAGCAAAGTCGAGATGAAGTCGTCTCAGGGTCCCCCACTCCTGGAGCACGGTGCGCCCCTCTCCTGACCCCGGTGCCCACAGACACTGCTTTTACCCCCTTCAGGGCTTGAGGAGGCCAGAGCCAGGCTCCAGGTTCCAGATGCGGCTCTTGGTGTCATTCCCATAAATGGTCACAGTCCCTTTTGACACCTCAAGGCATGAAACAGGCTAAAAACTACATGATCACGGGAATGTCTCAAAAGAATCCACATCGTCGGAGTGGAGACTCAACATGAAAAGTTCTGGTGGAATACGCTTTAATACTTAAAAAGCTCTGTAACAAAAGCCAACGTGGTTTTCAAAACGTGTACAAAACATGAGCGTGAAATTGATCTGAGCGTCGGGTAAGCGCAAAGCACACCCTGTGAGGTGCGCCAAGTTCCAGGCAGCTTGCCGTACGCGGGTGACGTGCCACCGCGCGCAGACGCAACGCTACTGCAAAACGACGGGCAGGAGACCGTGCGACGCCGCCTGTCCTGGGGCCGAGCTGCGTGGCACACACTCACCCGATCCCCAAACTGCACCTTTCTCACAAATAGCACCTTTGTGCGAAGCCCACTCTTCCAGAATTGTATTCTCCATTTCTAGAACATAGGAATAGGTTTTTTTTTTTTTTTTTTACTCATTAGTCTCTAAACCGTTTGCACCAAATAAATGAGGCTCAGGTCAGAGAGCAAAGGCCACCTCATATTTCAGTGACCCAGATGTTTTTAAACGCTGGGATTACATTCTTATTTGAGACAATGTAGTTTTTTCTTTTGCTTCTTAAAACCTGTGTTCATGGCCTATTTTAAACCAACTTTGTCAGCATTTTGCATCTGACTGTCCAGAGGCAGGATGGAGTGAGCACACCTAGACGGCAGAACTTGAATCATCTTTTACAACGGTGAAAATGACAGGCCGATCCGTCTTAAAAACACGTCACATAGGACACACTGCTTTGAACACCACTCAGCCTCGTGGGCTTCCGGCCCGGGCAGAGTGTTCGGAGACATCTGGGCAGCAACGTCACCTGCCGACTGTGCCCACGATCACGGCGGGGTCCGGATCAGATGCAAGACGAGAGCTGCTTCTTCTCTTCGAACTGCTTGTCCACTGCCAGAGAGAGGGCTCGAAGGAAGCCCTCGATGGTGACAGTGGGGGCCTGGAAGCAGACATGGGTACATGGGCCGGTCGTGCCCCCCGTGGGGCTGCTGGCCGGCACCCCCAGTATGGGGCAGGGCGGGGGACTCCGAGGCCCTGCTCCGCGCGAGTCCATGGAGGGCCCAGTGTGAGCAGAGGTGTGTGAGACGCCCGCAGGCCACCTCCTCGCTTCAGAGGCACCGAGGCCCTCCCGCCCAGAAGCCCATCGCTTAGGCATGGAGGTGAGTCAGATCCGTAACGGTGTTATGTGCAACTCCCCGCGAGGCCAGGCCCCGCCACACAGAGTGGTGGTGGGGGGCACACAGTGGCAGTGGGGGGCACAGAGCAGCGGTGGGGGGCACAGGGCAGCGGTGGGGGGCACAGAGCAGCGGTGGGGGGCACAGAGCGCTCAGAGGCAGGGGTGGCCACGGCGGACTCACCTGGACATACAGCGCATGAGCCAGAAAAGGGAGCTTTCTCAGGACGCGGCCGCTGAGACCCTCGCTCTTCCTGTGAACAGAATTGCGCTTGGGGACGGTTTCCCTCATCTCTGAAAGTCCCCTCCCCTATAGCTGGCCTCAAGGTGGGCTGGTGGCCCCCAGTCCTCAGCTCCTGCCCCAGGCGGGACAGGATGCTTGCTGCCCTGAGCTGCTAGCTGCCTAGGAGAGGCACACACGACATGGTGGGCACGCGGCCAGTGGCACGGATCCCGAGGAAACCAGGCTGGTCCCCATCAACTATTTTTGTCCAAGTGTCAGAACTGCCCTCTTCTGCCTCATCTTGACCAGTTTCGATCTCTTCAAGAGATAACCCGAAATATAGTTTCTTCAGGCTATCCCTTTGTTCAAAAGCTTCCACAAGCCTCACGGCTTCAGGATGAAGTTCAAACTCTGGTCACAACGTGGCCTCTGGGCCGCCAGCATCACCACCTGATCTCTGCTGTACAGCCCACTGCAAGTCCCCCACGGCCTTCCCCAGTTCTCTCGTTTGTCCAAATTCTAACTGTCCTTCACTCCACTGCAACTGTGCTCCACTCCATCTCCCCACCTTCCCTTCCTGCCACCCCTGGTCGCCAAAGCCATGTGGGAGGTCGACCACACTGCCAGCCACAGGCCCCCAGCACGTGTGCAGCCACTGGCACTCGGGCTGAACGCTCCCTCCTGACGCCTAGGGCTGCCGGGCCGCGTGCTTTCTCTGACTTCCCGAAGCACCAAGCACAGACCCCTGCCGCTGTGTCCTCTGCTTACTCAGACAGAAGTTTCCACTTTTTTCTTCTCATCGATTTGTAAAAATTTAACAAATGCCGTTTAAGAAATCAGGACTACGTCATGAGAGCTTCATCTGGATATCTATCTTTTCAGAGACAAACAAAGCACTGCTGTTTACTTTCTAACGGTGCCTGTGGGAGGGTGGCGGACCTCTACGCTCTGGCCCAGGAGCCTGGGGCCAGGGCGGTCGGGTGCTCTCAAAGCTCTCCCAGCGCCTGTGTGACAGACGCCTCAGGGTCCCAGTCCCTGTCCTCTGACCCCAAACCATGACCCCAGGCTGCTACAGTCAGCTACAACCGCCCATGACCACAACAAATGCACTTTTCTAGGTTATAAAGATGGAGGCAATGCACACCTTGAAATTTCACTCAAAAGGAGACTCAACCTTGACACGTTGTTTTCAATGAAGCCAATCATCTCCAGCTCCCGGAGGGTCAGCAGCTGCTGGCGAGGGTATATGATCTGACACTGGAGACAGAGACAGGGCGTCACGGCGCGGTTCACGGGCAGAGTGCACACTGTCGGCCACGGGACAGCAGCCCGTTTCTCAGAAACATCGCCTCCCCCAGAAAGGCAAGCACGGCCACGCCAGGACGCAGGCTGCTCCCCTCTCGCTCACACGCACGCCCCCGCTCCTTCAAACGCAGGTGAGAATACAGGTGACGGGACACGTCTCGGAGACTAGCGGGGACCCAGCCTCTTCTGTGCTTTTGATCAAGACGTGTCTTCACTACGTGTCAGGGCAGAGAGGGACTCAGAGGGGCTGAGGCCAGCCCGGTATTGGGTTTCAAAGGCATATCACAACCCAGGGAAGCAGAGTCGAGCTCAGGAGTCAGGACTTGGCCTGCCTTTCAAGGAGGGTCTCCATTTTTTTTTTTTTT